GTGTCCCCAGGGGGGTGACAGTTCTTACCCAGAGCTTGCTGTCCCAGTAGAAGGCTCCCAGCAGCCGCACGATGTGCGGGTGGTCACAAGTGGCCAGGATCTCGATCTCCACCATGTAATCCTCCAGCTCATCCTCGCTCTTGGTCTCGATGACTTTGGCAGCTGCCAAGGCGCCCGTTTCCTTGTTCTTGGCCTGMCAGACAAAAGCAGGGTGAGCCCGGGGAAAAAGAGGAAAGCAAAAAATTCCTGCTGCTCCAATTCCTGCTGGGCTTGACTGGCCCCAAACACAAAACCAGCAGGTGCATTTCTGCTTCCCAAACCTGCCCACAGCTCTGCTGGGTCCTCCTTCCTCCCTCCAGGCTCCCATCTCGGGGGGATTTTTAGGAAAGGAGATGCATCCTGTTGTTTGTAGCAGGGGGAAAAAAGGAAGAAGGAAACTTCAGAGTAGAGAAGCTCTGTGATGRTGTCCCAGGTAAATTTGTATAAATCCTGAATACACAGATAATCCAGCCAAGATCTGAGCGGGCAGCCAGGTGGGGATTGGGCTCTGATCCCAGAAACAGGGACAGGAGGAGAAGGAATGGCCTCAGGCTGGGCTGGGGAGGGGCAGGGGGGACAGCAGCAGGAATTTCCCCATGGAAAGGGTGCTCAGGATTGGCAGGGGCTGCCCAGGGAGGTTTGGAGTGCCCATCCCTGGAGGTGGMACTGAGTGCCACCAGGTAGAGATGGGGCACAGCTTGAACTCAGTGACCTTGAAGGTCTTTCCCAACCTCAGGGATTCCGTGATTTTGTAAAATCCCCAGCCCAGCTGCAGCAGGAGATGTGTCACACGTGGCAGCGGGGTGAGACAGGAGCTGCTGACGCAGGAGCACCCCGACACTGCCAGGAACTCTTTGAGTCAGCAGATGGAGGCACAGAAACCCCTCCAGCTCAGCCCCAGCTCCTCCCCATTTCCATCCATCCCCCCATCCAGGCTGCCTCTCCCCAGGGACACAAATCCCACTGGGTTTGGAATCCCTGCAGGAGCTGGCCAAGCTCTGCTCCTGACCTTTCCTCCCACTCTCCAGTTTCCATCTCCGTGTTTGGCAAACCCGCGGGGGAGCTCACAGGAGGATGAATTCCCGGTGTAAACACCACTGCTCCCTCTGAAGAGCTCTACRTGGTGTACCAAGGCTGGGAGGGGAGGAAGGAACACTGGGAAAACCCTACAGCAGAGGGAGGGAGGGAAATGGGGGATCCCAGTCTCTGCTGTGCTCCAAAATCTCGCTGCATCCCTGGAGCTTGTAGGGACAGCCGTGTCCTCACCACAGGGGACAAACCCATTTCCCTCCRGGCTCGCTGCCCAAATGCAGGGACATTTCGGGGAAATCAGGGGGTTTCTTTAGCTCAGGTTGGGTGTTTTTTCACCAAGCTGCCACAGCTGCTGTCACATGGGCTGGGRGATGTGGAAGGAGCTCAGGGAACAGAAGAGCCCTTCCCAGCAGGAGCAAGAAGTGCCCCACGGTGTTTGCTCTGCTCTTACCCCGCCGGGAGAGCTCCGGGAGGGGAAGTCAATATTGGGAGAAGAGGTGGGGCAGGATCGCTTCCCTTCCCACCGGCGGGGCCCCGCCAGCTCAGCCCCTGCTGGGGCCCTGCAGGACCTGGARAAGCCCAGAGCAGAACAGGGAACTGGGCTGGGCTCGGGGTTTGCAGAGCAGGCTGCGGGTCAGGCTGGGCAGTGACCCCACTGTTATCCCCACACCCCATGGGYGAGCAGCCCAGTGCCCCCAGTGTGACCAGTCCCTGCCCAGCTGGGAGCCACCTGCATGGGTGGCTCAGCTCTGAAAGGGTCAGCACAGACTGAAATCTGCGTTCCTGCACCACCCTGAGCTGTCCCGAGCAAGTGCTCACCCCTCATCCCCATTTCCCTGTCCCCATTTCACCCCTCATCCCCATTTCCCTGTCCCCATTTCACCCCTCATCCCCATTTCCCTGTCCCCATTTCACCCCTCATCCCCATTTCCCCATCCCTGAGCTCCAGAGGGCGAGCAGCATGTCACCATCCCGTGTGACACATAGGGGTCACACTGCCCGGGCACACCTGAGGGGTCAGAGCACCTTCTCCAAGGAGAAACCAGCTCAGGGCATCCCCAGCTCCTGACCCAACAATGCTTTGGGGTCACCCACGCGGGTGGGGTGGCATGGGGATGGTGTGGGCACAACCCCCAGGGATAACATCACTGCTGGAGCCAAGGGCACCTCCCAGGAGGGACCAAACTGACCCTCAGGATGGMACAGGAAGGTGGGAAGGACCCCTGATATCATGAGGTGAGCAGGAGATTTTGGGAAATTATCTCCCCTGCAGTGTGGAGAAGACACTGTTTGTCCCACAGAGCTGCCTTTGGGAGGACGAGGTGGACATCTCATCCCTTCCCGAGGTGTCCATGCCCCTCTGAGCCCAAATTCCAGCTGTCCCCTGCCACCACAGCAGGCACAGGGAGATGCCCAGGCCTGGCATGGTCACTCCTCAGCTGAGCTCAGCCAGACACGTCTGTCACTGTGACAGCTCTGGAATTCCAGGGATCTTCTGCCCATTTCTCCACCATCCCAGCAGCTCCCGGACTGTGAGATCCCAACAGAATTCTTGATGCCAGTCTGCTCAGCCTAAAGCAGCTCCATCTTCCAGCTCCTCCACTCCCACACATCTCAATTCCACGGGTAATTTGTCCTTGGGGTGCTAATTAGCACCAAATCAGAGCGGACACAGTGCCCAGGATGTGCTGCTGAGTTACAGGGGGTTCACCACAGCCATTTAAACCCCAAAAARCCCTGGTGGCCACCAGCAGCAGCCCCGGGGCAAGTCAGCAGTGACAGATCAGCACAGGAGCGCACATTCCACAAATGTCACATAAAAGTTACTCAATAACCACGTCCAGAGAGCTGTGCCAAGAGCTGAGCAGGGAACAAAGCACAGGATCCTCCTGGAGAAGCCCAGAACAGGGTGGGTGCTGTGGCCWAACACCCCGGGAGCCCCAGGGAATGGGACAGGGGTGGGATGGCCACTGGAATCACCCAGAGGGTTTGTGGGGTCGGGGTGAGAGGTGCCCGTTCAGGTGACACGGGGCCTCTGCCCGTGACTCAGCCCGCAGCTATTGTGAAACAGCAGCAGGACAAACACCGGAGCTATTTTAAGCCCTGAAAGAGCCCAGCAGCGGAAGGCTGGATGGTTCAGGACAGGCAGTTTCTAGGTGAGGCACAGGAAAGCGCTGCCTGAGCTCTGGCTGCCCCAAAAGGGAGAACTGAGATCCCCCTCGAGTGCCTCAGCTCAGCTCGGATCTTCCCAAGGCCAGGTGTCATCCCTTCCGGGCTATCGACCCTGATTTGGTGTGAGCCCCTCTTCCCATCCGTGCCAGTCCTGTCCCCAGGCCAGGGGTGCTGGACATCAGCAGGTCAGAGCCCTGAGAGCTCCAGGGGTGCTGGACATCAGCGGGTCAGAGCTCCAGGGGTGCTGGCCATCAGCAAGACAGAGCCCCAAGAGCTCCAGGGGTGCTGGACATCAATGGGTCAGAGCTCCAGGAGCTCTGGAAATGCTGGACATCAGTGAGACAGAGCCCCAGGCACCCCAGTAATGCTGGACATCAGCGGGTCAGAGCTCCAGGGGTGCTGGACATCAGTGGGTCAGAGCCCCAGGAGCTCCAGGGGTGCTCCCTTTGGGGCAATCGCTCGCCCTGCCCCACCCCACTCGGTGTCTCCGTGGGTGCTGCTCCCTCCCGCATTGCTCAGTGATTACACAAGGATTAATTGCCTCCTGATGAACCTGGCCCKGGCTCTCTGCATCAATAAACAAACACAGAGGAGCCAGGCTTGAGTCAGTGCACGTGGCGGTGTCAAAGAATCGATGGGGCTGGAATGAAGGCGTGTCCCCTGGGGGGACAGAGTGGCACATTCAGCCTGGAGAAGGAGGGTGGAAGGAAGGTCCTGGAAGGACCCCTGAAGGGTCTGAAGGGGCTCCAAGGAAACTGGAGAGGGGACTCCACCAGGAATGGGAATGACAGGGCAAGGGGAATGGGTTCAGACTGACAGAGCAGGGGTAAATGGGATATTGGGAGGGAATTGTGTGAGGGCAGGAGGCCCTGGCACAGGGTGCCCACATGTTGGACAGGGCTTGGAGCACCCTGGGACAGCAAAAGGTGTCTCTCCTATGGCAGGGGGTGGGATAAGAGGATTTTAGGGTTCCTTCTATCCCAAACTATCCCATGAGATCCAAGCCTGACCAGCCCCAAAGAGCCACTCTTGTCACCATGAATGAAGCCCGTTTGGGGTTTTGTTTGAAACACTGGGGTCAGGGCAGTTGGTGACAGTGGGCAGGGGGCACAGCCCCGACCCCACAGCCCCCACAAGGGGCAGGGCTCTGCCTGCACCAGCCCGGCTGCTCTGGCAGCTGTGGCAACCCTTCAGCAAGGGAAGGGGAAGTGGCTTGTGAAAAAAAAAAAAAAAAGAGAAAACAAAGAAAAAGCAGAAATGCCTTCCTTTGGTTTGACAAGCTCAAGGCAGGGAAAGCAACTCCACCAGAGAGCTCAGCCACAGGCAGGGCCTGCGGGGGAGAGCTGCCCAAAAAAATGTGTCACCAAGGCATGGCACAAACAGCCCTTCTGGCCCTAAAAGCTCAGCAGTGGCCAGGAAAGGGGGCAGAGATAACAAACCCACAGAGCAGCACAGCTCCACGTGATGCCTCAGACCCAGCAGCTGCAGGGGCAGGAACAGCCAGAGGCTTTGGGGCTGCTTTGCTCTGTTATAAACACCCACAGAGACCTCGTGGGGCTGGGCTGAGTGACAAATAAACAGCTTTGAGCAGGGGAAGTTCCACATCCACCCAACATCTTCAGCCTCAAAGCTGAAAGCACCAAACACCCTCCAAATCTGCAGTGCCTGGATGAGCACGGTGCTCTAAGAGAGCATTCCTGGCCTGCTCTTCATTCAGCTGATGCCACAGCATTGGAAAGATAAAAAAATAGAGGGGAAAAAGCCATTTGGCCAATTCTGAGCTTCCTGGAAACTTCTGCAACAAATGTGGTCTGCAGAGGGCTGAGGGGGCAGGGGCTGGATGGCCACAGAGCCCAGAGAGAGCCAGGGAAGGGGCTCAGGCTGGCTGGCAGCCCTCTCACACTGCTGAAAGCATCAGCTCAGCAAGGTCCTGGCAGGAGGATAAACATC